TCCCCATCCCCATCTCCATCCCCATCCCATCCCTATCCTCATCTCCATCCCATCCCTATCCTCATCCCCAGCTCCATCCCCATCCCCAGGCTTCCCACACTCACCTTGGGAGCCAGGAACTGTGAGGATTTGTTCACCACCCACTTGGGAAGGGAACCTGGGGGGAAGAGGAGCCACACTGGGATAGTCCCTACTTGGGGACACCCTGGGGAGAGGGCACCAGGTGACCCAGGGATGCCCAGCCAGGAGAAGCAGGATTCACCCGAGTTCCCACTGTAGCTTTTTGCTACTTCCCTAAAAAGCCATTTCAGCATCTTGGCCACCCCAAAACAGACATTTCAAGAGAATGGGCCTGATACGTTCCCCCCTGGCTCCAGTGCTCCGGTTGGATCCCAAGATGATCCCGCTGCTGCCTGCTGGAGCCCACCTGGAGCCCATGCGTCCTCCCAGCTCTTGAAAACCCAGATCCATCCATCCGACCTTGGTGATCCCATCATCAGCCTTGGGAACACCCCAATCCACCCATCCCACCTTGGTGATCCCATCATCAGCCTTGGGAACACCCCAAACCACCCATCCCACCTTGGTGATCCCATCATCAGCCTTGGGAACACCCCAAACCACCCATCCCACCTTGGTGATCCCATCATCAGCCTTGGGAACACCCCAATCCACCCATCCCACCTTGGTGATCCCATCATCAGCCTTGGGAACACCCCAATCCACCCATCCCACCTTGGTGATCCCATCATCAGCCTTGGGAACACCCCAAACCACCCATCCCACCTTGGTGATCCCATCATCAGCCTTGGGAACACCCCAATCCACCCATCCCACCTTGGTGATCCCATCATCAACCCTGGAAACACCCAGGTCCGTCCATCCAACCTTGGTGATCCCATGGTTCCATGACCAACCTGAGCTGATCCATCAGGACAGACCACCCCTAACTGGAGGGTGACTGTCCCTAAGGTGGTCTGAGCCCCCCAAGGTGCTGGACCAGGGGATGGGGGTCCCCCCTTTACCTTTGGGGTCCACCTGCGCCAGGTAGGTGATGGTGCAGCTCTTGGCCCCCGTCCCCTCGATCAAGTAGCCCGTCTGGATGGAGACTGCTCGTACCATGTCTTTCCGTGGGGGGTACTTCTGCAGGGGGACACCGGGGGGGACATGGGGACAGGGTGTGGGTTAGGAGAGGGTTCAGGCATCACCCATCCACCCCATCCCCGTGCAGGCAGCACCCATGGGACCCCCTCAGTGCACTCACAGGGTGCTTGACAGAGTAGTTCATGATGATGTAGTCGTTGCCCATGGGCAGCCAGGAGCGCAGCGTGATGACATCCCGGTTCTTGAGGGGCTTGGGGCACTTCCCTATGGACAACAGCGGGGGGAGACCCTCTCAGCATGAGCAACCCCCCATATCCCACCCCAAGGGGTCCCAAGTTCCTCCTGGCACCATGGGCACCACCAGCCCCGTGGCTGATGCAGCCTCCAGCCGGGCCGTGCTCACAGGCGTAGTAGCCCACATCGGAGTTGACGGTGAGCTTCCCGATGTCGAAGGTCTCGATGACGTTGGTGTCCCACTTCTTGCGGTACTCGATGTCGTGCAGCACGTCATAGAGCGTCTCTGCCGGCACGTCCTTGCACTCCATCCTGCACTGCACCAGGGGACAAGCGGGTGGCCATGGGGACCCAGCTGGAGACACCCGGATCCATCCATCCCACCACGCTGATCCCATCATCAACCTTGGAAACAACCAGATCCATCCATCAATCCCACCTTGATAATCTCATCATTAACCCTGGAAACAACCAGATCCATCCATTCCACTGCACTGATCCCATCATCAACCTTGGAAACAACCAGATCCATCCATCCCACCACGATGATCCCATCATCAGCCTTGGAAACACCCAGATCCATCCAGCCCACCACAATGATCCCGTCATCAACCCTGGAAACACCCAGATCCATCCATCCCACCACGCTGATCCCATCATCAACCTTGGAAACAACCAGATCCATCTATCCATCCCACCTTGATCATCTCATCATTAACCCTGGAAACAACCAGATCCATCCATTCCACTGCACTGATCCCATCATCAACCTTGGAAACAACCAGATCCATCCATCCCACCACGATGATCCCATCATCAGCCTTGGAAACACCCAGATCCATCCAGCCCACCACAATGATCCCGTCATCAACCCTGGAAACACCCAGATCCATCCATCCCACCACGATGATCCCATCATCAACCCTGGAAACACCCAGATCCATCCATCCCACCACGCTGATCCCATCATCAACCCTGGAAACACTCAGATCCATCCATCCCACTGCACTGATCCTATGATCAACTTCGGAAACACCCAGATGGGTGGGAAGGTGACCATGGGGATGCCCAAGAGGAATGACAACAGTGGGGACCCCCAAGTGGGAGGGTGGCCATGGGGACCCCAAGGCAGGATGGCAGCCACGAGGACTCCCAGAAATGACGGTGGTCCTGGGGAACCCACAGGTGGGAAGGTGGCCATGGGGACCCCCAGCTGAGGGTCTTCTCTCAGGTTCCACAACCCCAATGCAACAACCCCCCTGAGCAGCTGGATCCCAACCAGCAGCTCAGCCCAGTCTGGCCCAGTTTGGCACTGGGGCCATGGCGCAGCGTGTGTGGCACAGGGGGGCACAGTGGGGAGCAGCTCGGGAAGAGGAGGAGAAGGGAGGAGCCATGTTCCCATCCTCCCGCATCCCACGTGTCCCCAGGCTGGGAACCGGGAACCAGCCCCACCGAACACCACCAGCTCCAGGTCATCCCAAGGGTGGCTCCGGCCGCTCCTGGACCCCGGAGCTGGGGGGGCTGCTGGGGCTGGATTAGGGTAGAGGATCTGGAGCCTGTCCCCAGCCCCATGGAGCCACTCCCCAACCCACAAGAGACCATCTCCAACGCCATGAAGCCAATCC